AGAGGATCTGGTCTTATTTTTCTGATCCCTATGGTCCATGTGAAGCTTAGAATGGCTAATGCTGATTGTTTAGAGCTTAGTTATAATGATTTCTTGTGCGTCAGGTTATATTGTACAAGTGATTGCAACTGATTTATTTTCAAAGTTACTATTATTTACACGTACTCCCTCCGTCCGAAAATGCTGATTGTTTAGAGCTTAGAATGGCTAATGCTGATTGTTTAGAGCTTAGTTATAATGATTTCTTGTGCGTCAGGTTATATTGTACAAGTGATTGCAATTGATTTATTTTCAGAGTTACTATTATTTACACGTACTCCCTCCGTCCAAAATTACTTGTCATGAAAATGGACAAAAGGGGATATATCTAAAACGAAAATACATCTAGATACATATCTTTTTATTCATTTTGATGACAAGTATTTCCGGACGGAGGGAGTATAAGTTTAGGGCTGACCTTTTATTTGTCTATGGCAACTACATATCTACATTGTTCCATGTATCAGCGCTTGTATGCACATGCGTCAAACATATCAAAAACAGGAAAGTAAAAGGGGCGCTTTCCACCTGGCACCGCCCAGCCACCTCTCAGGAAGCCCGCAATAGCGGGCCCCAACCGCTAGTTAAACCCATTAAGCTAAGCGTAAAGGGCGGCCAACCAGCTATGCCACGTGGCGCAAGCTGGTTGGCCGTGGTGAGAAATCTTTTGAATTTTTTTAGATGAAGTTGTAGATTATTTTTCAAATGTATTTTTTTTAGATGAAGGTGAGGACCTCTGGTATTTTTTAAATGGAGGGTTATGCAAAGTGGCACTTGCTGGTAGGCTGCGGTGGTAATTTTTTTTCTTATTTCTTTTTTACTTTTTTTAGATGAAGGTGAGAATTTTTTTTCTGAGATGTTTTCTTAGACGGAGACAAGGACTCTATGTACTTTTAAAGTGAAAATGTGCTCATAGCTTCCTCTCAAGCGGCGGCAGAGGGTGGCGCCCCAACCACTAGTATTTGCTCCAAGCCGTCGCGTCTATGCCCACACAAAAATTAGTGAAACGAATTGACATGCATGATTGCATCGATAGATTAATGCATAAATTATAATTTATGACCACATGCTTGACTTGATGATGTGGCACAGTTGAATGAAGAGAAAAAATAGGTAGTGTATTGCAACTATTTAAGAATAGAGGATGCATCCAGCGCGTCCCTAGGCAGGACCTATATATGTCAAGCCTCACATCGGACGTATGTGTTTTTCTTTGGACCCCAATATCCACCTGATGTTCGATCTAGGCAGGTCCTAGAATGAACAAATCGTTCCCCATGGAAAGATGTACCTGTTTTCGTTTGATCTAGGAGGAGAGTGGAGTGGAGCGAACAGCTAAGGTATCTATATTTGTACCATTTATAGTATTTTTACCGTGTTGCTTCAATTTTGAAAAATATTTAAATTTGTAATTTAAATTGTTATAAGAAGCAAGAGATCATATATACATATATAATAAAATCCATTAAAATAGATTTTTGAAGCTTCGGAGGAGAGCATGATTTATCATCGCGTGACTTGATGTACATTGAAACATATAGCAAAGCCAGTACAATGATATGTAGGTGAGTTATCCTCTCTAGAGTAGAGCAAGTACTCCATTTTATTAATCTCTGGAAAGAAATAAAATGACAGTTAGTAAGACGGAAAGACAATAGTCTGCTTAATCAGCTGAACTCTTTAATCCCTGGCTAGTAACATGCATGGTGTGAATTGTGAGTGAACTTGCATATTTGAGTCCACACATGTAATGAGGATGGCTGCACATTAAAATAAAGAACATACACATGTAACATTCTTCCTGAATGCTCAACGTTTCACTTCTGTACATGTGACAACTAGTAGTATTCCTCTTCCAACGCTGCCCTCCAAACCTTTTACTGCCACCGGCCCCCGAAATCAATAAAATGAAATCAGCTGTCATTGCTTTTTTTTTTTGAGAAAGAAATCAGCTGTCATTGCTATGCTCCGCTGTAGGACGGCGGCCTTAAGCGACTTCAGAATTTTAGTGGGCCGGCCACCTTGCAGCCCGGCGATGAGTGTGTGGTTGGGCATGTAGGTTGGTATCATCGTCAGCGCGCGTTCTGCAACGTCACTACTTGGCAGTGGCAAAGATTAAGGCCCTTGTGCCTGGTGCTTCTTGAATTCAGCGAGGACGTGACCTTGGTACCATTTGTTGTTTGTTTTTCTTTAGTTCATAGTGCTTAGACCGGAGGTTTGTTCACTTAGGATCCCTGAATTTTTCTACCTTTCAGATTTTGGTTTCAGGACATTTATTGTGCACATATTATTTCGTATTTGTTCATGCAAATGATTAATCAATGGACTCTTGATCGTAACTGTTTTTAACTATAAAGCATTTATTGAACTTGATGTATTGCTTGGTACTAAGTATTAGCCTAAACTTGTAAATGCCCCCTTCACGATTTCCTTGGTTTGGGCTTGATATCGTCAGCATTTAGCCCCTTGCCCCATTCAAAACCAGCCAATTTAAATGTGTATTTAAGAACTACTAGCAAAAGGAACCATGCGTTGCAACCGAAGAAAAACAATCATAATCTCCAATGGGCCATGACCACATTTTGCTGCATCACCAAGATACACTATCACTCTCAATTTCGTGAAATCATGAACAATTTTTGAAATCATGCATATATTTTTTAACTCATGAACATATTTGAAATCGTGAACATTTTTTAAATTCGTGAACACAATTACAAATTATGTATTTTTTCTAAAATCAAGAACATTTTTTGAATTCATAGACATTGTATAATAGTTTTAAACATTTGTTTAAGATTACAAATATTTTTTAAAACAATTTTCTTGAATTGACAAACATTTCTAGAATCGACGAACATTTTTGGAAATGGTGGAACAATTTTTGAAACTCGAGAACTTTCTTTATTTAACGAACATTTCTTGAATCAGCAAAACATTATATAAATGAATAAACTATTTTCTAAGTCACGATTTTTTTAAAACAAATTCGATATTTTCCATTCATGCAAATCTTTTGAGTTGGCGAAATTTGTTCCATTTCATTAACTTCTAAAAACATTATGAACATTATTTTAATTTCCTGAACATTTATTTTCAAAATTTTGAACATTTTGTGAATAAGAACACATTTTTTACAAAATCACAAACACTTATTGAATCCACAAACATTTTATGATTTACAAAACATTTTATTTAATAATTTTCATTTTTTTTAATTTACAGAACTTTTTTGAAGTCCCAAATTATTTAAAGTATAAAAAAAGGAAAACGTAAAAGCAAAATAAAAAATAAAAAGTAAATTTAGAAAACAGGCTGACTGAAAATGGGCCGGGCCAGAACGGACGCGCAGCATATTTTTCCAGCGCATAGAGCATAGTATATGAGGTCCATGCTGCATGGGCCGGCCCAGGCGGGGGATTTCCCTGTGTATAATGTTTTTTTATCACTTATAGGGGCAATTTTCGTGACATACTGACTATTATTAGGTATAGACTAGCCAACACAGACCGTGCGTTGCAATGGGAGAAAAAAATCACCCCCTTTATAATTTTGGGACTATAATTTTTATCGTTCCATGATATTATAGTATCAATTTTGGATGTTTTATATGTGATTATCTATTATTTCGGGACTAAAATTTAATTTAGTGCCAAGTGTCAGTTGTTGTTCTTGCCTGTTTTTGGTTTCCAGGAAATCGGAACCAAACAAAGTCCAAATGCCACGAAACCTTTTGACATTTTTTTTTTCTGGACATAAAAGACACTAGAAGCTTCGCGATGAGACCAAAAGGCGAAGGGGGTGGCCACGAGCCACCAGGGCGCGCCTAGGGGGTAGGCGCGCCCTGGTGCCTCGTGGGCCCCTCGTTCCTTCGTTTGACCTAATTCCAACTCTATAAATTCTCTAAAATCGGGAAACCAACAGAGAGCCACCGAAAATACTTTCTTCGCCGCCGCAAGTTCCTGTTCTCGCGAGATCCCATCTGAAGGCCTTTTTCGGCACCCTGCCGGAGGGGGAATCAATCATGGAGGGCTTCTACATCAACCTTGTTGCCCTCCGATGATGTGTGATTAGTTTACCACAAACCTACGGGTCTATAGCTAGTAGCCAGATGGCTTCTTCTCTCTCTTTGATCTTTAATACAATATTTTTCTCGATGTTCTTGGAGATCTATTCGATGTAATCCTTTTTTGCGGTGAGTTTGTTGGGATACGATGAATTGTGGGTTTATAATCAAATTATCTATGAATATTATTTGAGTCTTCTCTGAACTCTTTTATGCATAATTGTTATAGCTTTGTATTTCTCTCCGATCTATCTGTTTGGTTTGGCCAACTAGATAGATTTATCTTGCAATGGAAGATGTGTTTTGTGATGGGTTCGATCTTGCGGTGCTCAATCACAGTGACAAAAAGGGACATGACACGTATTTGTATCAAACTCGCAGATAGAAGTTCACCGAGTTTCCGATAGAATGAACTCGGCGAACACTTGGAACTCGGGACAAAACCAGATTCTAGTAGTGATAGAGACATGCATGTATATGTAAGATGAGTCAAAGAAAAAAAAAAGACATGTAACAACAACTAAGCTCGATGCCCCAAACGTCAAAACTGAAGAGCATTTATGTAGCGCTGGCTTGATGCAAAAACAATGCCTCAAGGCATGTGGACCGATTGAAGCCTGTAATATAATCTTACAAACAACATAATGCAGCTTATATAGTCCACTGTGGTGGATTAATTTTAAATACATATTGTAACGATACACAACCACATCAAACAGAGGTACAATCGCCTTTCAAAAAAAAAGAAGTTACATTCGACTTTCATAATTTGAAAAACAAAACATGCTAGTGTCCTGGGACGTGCATATAGCAGATGTATAAAATCTTCTTTCGTATAGTAGAATTGTTACTTTTTAAGATATTCTAAATACATAGCAGGCCGGTGTGTAGTGCATCAGTTCGTGAAAGGACTAGCCCTGAGGAAATCCAGCTCCAGCATATAGCCATGTACGTAATGTGCTTTTCCGACAAGATTCATGCCTCCGTTGTCCTTGAAGACATAACATCCATAAGGACCAATGGCGATGGTGTAGCCAAGTTCAGCAAGCTGGCCAGTCGCGACGAGGTTCACATCAAGCCCAGGGACGTACAAAACGTCCTGCAGGGTCATGCTCGCAGTGTTCACCGATCCGCGGCCATGGACCGCCATCGGCCCCATGTTGGGCGTGTCAACAATAACTTGGTCACCAAAGGTTGGCGTGAAGTCGACCAAATGATTCAGGTAGCCCGTCATATGTTGCGGAGCAGCAGATGCAACACGCCAGGTTTGCACGGGCGTACTGTCTCAAGTCAATAAGCTCGACTTGTCCGCAGCTATAGGGTAATCAGATCTGGTAATCATAGCAACAGAGGAACGTACCCAAGAGTATGCAAGCTTGCGATAATAGAAACAAGTATGCTAGTCGTCAGTACCTCGGTGAGGCGGGTTGAGGCTCCATGGCGCAACGAGCTTGGGGGAAGAATAAGAACGAGCTTCGGGGAGTAATTGGAATGGCGGAGCCTAATTAACGCAGCCGTGTGGAAGAAATCTCCAAGCTGTCGCTTACTGCGCGGGTAGGCCTAATTAATGCAACCGTGTGGAAAAATATTCCCGCCTCTTGTCGACAGCTTAAGGTCTAAGCGGGAGTTGCTACTCAGAGAGTCAGAGTTCATCCGCAAGCTTTTGGATAACGGAGGAGATGCCAGCTGCAAGCAAAAAGACACTGGATTGCCACGTTGACAGGAGGTAATTAATTTCCATTTGAGCTTGGGCTTATACATCCCTTTTTCTCCATTTTGATGACAAGTATTTCCGGACGGAGGGAGTATAGAACAACACAGAATCGTACGTGATTCACCCGATCGATCGATCCTCGTTTATCCCAGCTGCATGCATGCATGATTCACAGCTACCATCACCATCAGTTTGAGTTTGAATCGACACCTCGGCGCGCGTACATATACATATACATATACATATACATGTCGCCCTTGACTAGCTTGACCCTAACAATCTATCTTACTAGTATTTCTACTGTTCCATTTTGCAGATGTTCCAAACCAACAGTCCTAGACACGCACAAAGTGGTCCAACTTACTGGATCTATGGCCATGAGATTGTATGGTCCTAGCATCGCTTTGATGGCCTTTCTGCTTCCATTGCTCCAGCAAATCTATTGGGGCATAACTTCCCAACAAGGTAAGGTCGTCAGTAATGAGATCCAGCGTCTCAATCAAGGTCTCAGCAGTGGGACACCCTTCACCGTCAATGAGATCGCCAGTTGGATCGTGGCGCAGGATCTTTACGACCTGGACAAGCTTCGCAAGCTGCTAGATAAACAATTGAAGGAGGTGGTAAGTATCTCTAGCTAGATTTCCATGTGTCTAGAAAGCACACCAATATTTGCAAAACCTTAATATAACACAAGTTCTCATGGAAATTTCAGTGCCGGGGTCTTCTATTGGTGTCTCAGAGTCCGAACATAAGATTGTTTCTCAAGAGCATGCTCGCAAAACTCGAGGGTCGATGGGCCAAATGCGTTTGTGATGTGCAAGGCAAAAGGTATGTGTTCGATATCCAGGTGGTGGCTGGAGACTATTCATCTTGGCAAACCATGCATGCCTACGTGCTCCCATATGTCTGTACAGGCCCCGAGGACAGTCATACCAGTTTCATGAAAGTTCATACACATATACACACCAGTTCTTTATTTTATTTTTTTGAAGATCAAGATTCTTGACATTTTTTAGTCAACTATCAGGGCAGTGCCTTAATTCTTATGCTTTAGGAAGTCACCCTATGCATAATGACCACACTTCATTTAATCAATTAACGTGGAAACCAAAAACAACAAAAACTACATTGATATCTATATTTTATGCCCGGCTTACATTTTGCAATATTACATCAAGTTAAATAGTAATTTACAACTAACATAGAAATACTTTCTTGTGTTCTTCTTGACTTTGGTTTTAAGATGAAATTTTAAAGTCTACTTCTCATAAAAATCTATTGTTGTGCCGTAATAATAGAGAGGCGTAGAATAATTGTTCTTCACCTTGGGTGATGAGTAGTGCGACCCTAAATAGGTAGATAAATATATAGCAGGAAAATAATTCCGCACCACTCCAGAACTTCTGCAAAATGAAGGTATAAACTTCATGTCTCCGCTCTCCATATTTCTTGCTTTTCTCAATATAACTTTCAAGCATGTGTGGGAATGATGCAAACTATATATCCTGGGTTAGATATGGATTAGCTGCAATATTTTATACATAACATGTTCTCAAATTTGTTAGGGTTTAGGAGGAGTTTTAAAATACAAATTAAATGACATTAGATGTTTTTTTAATCATAACTACCAAACATTTTGTCGGAACAATGCGCATCATCTGCCATTGGAAATATATTTATTAGACGCAACTTTTCTATATATAATATATTTTTAAAATTCCTTATGGTTTAAAATCAGTTTTATTGATGGAAAATATGCATTGATATTTTACTTCGTACTTCCAAATGAATATGTGAAGATTTGTTTAGATATTGATTAGGCACAATGAATCAATTCTTGTGCCCTTTATTTTCATAAGAATCTCAATATGAGCTCAAATCTCATTTCTTTTTCTTTTTAGAAACCCAATGCACTTGTACTCTATCTCTCTCCCTCTCTCTCTCTCTCTCAAATTTATTAGGGTTTAGGAGAAGTTTTAAAATCTATAGTTATTAATAAAGTAAGGTGCATTTCGCCAATTGTTTCATCCATTCACCAGCGAAAATAATTTTTTTTCTATTCGAGGTGCTACTAAATTCTTATGCCTTCGTCTGCTAGAAAAAAAGGTTTTACCAGAATTTCGTACGTGGCCCCCGCGCTGTGGCCCAGCGAAGACCGCCCACTTATTTTTCTTCCCACGCAACTGGGAGAGTTCTATTTTCCGCACAGAGCTACAAATAGTCGGAACTTCGCACAGGACAACCAATAATGGGCTGGCCCATTTTTCTTTGTTTTTGTTTTTTACCTCTATTTTTATTCTCCTTCCCCTATCTCTTTTTTCCCTTCCAAGTTTATTTTTATTATAATACTTATTTCATAAATTCTAAAATCTCAAAAGAACATTCATAATTTAAAAAGGTGAAATTATAGAAAATTTTCAAAATTTCAAATTTTTGTTGCTATTTTGAAAAATATTCAGAACTTGAATAAAGTTTCCCATTTTTTCAAAGACTTTTTTAAAATTGTTTGAGATTTCTTAAAACAAAATGGAAGTTTAAAAAATGCTCAAAATTTGAAAATTATTCTTATTTTAGTGAATTTTTCACAATTCAAAATAATGTTAAAACATACACAATTTTGAATAATGTCATGAATTTTCAACACATGTTTCCGTTATAAAAAAATGTTCACAAATTCAAAGAATTTCATGTTTCATTAAAAAGTTGGTGTTTTTAAAAACTGCTGGTGAATTTTAAAAGATGGTCCTGTTTTAAATTTTGTTCATGTTTTTTTAAAAGTGTACATAATTGTCAAAACACTGTTCAAGTTTCCTACAGCATTCAGAAACTTCATAGCTTAAAATCTGCTTGATTGAAAGGAAAAGTGGATTGAATAATTCATGGGCCTTCTCTGGCGTACGAAGACATAAAAAACACTTAAACGCCCTCGACCAATGAATGGAAAAATAGTGGATTGATTACTTCACGCCCGGCGAAATCGATAAGCTAAATGTTCCTTTTTCACATGCGCAAAGGGTTTTGCTTGCACATATAATTCTCACTAACTTTAAATACATATTAATTTTTGTCCCGTTGCAACACGCGGGCACATGTGCTAGTACATACGGCCAAAATTCTTGTCTTGTGGATTTATCTAGATACGGATGTATCTAACACTAAAATGTGAATAGATACATCCGTACGTAGTCAAATCTAAGACAAGAATTTTGGGACGGAGGGAGTACTAAATGACATTAGATATTTTTGTAATCATAACTACCAAACTTTTTGTCGGAATGATGCACATCATCTGCCATTGGAAAGATACTGATTAGACGCAACTTTTTTGTATATAATATATTTTTAAATTTCCTTATGGTTTAAAATGTTTTGTTGATGGCAAATATGCATTGATATTTTAGTTAGAACTTCCAAATGTATATATGAAGATTTGTTTAGATGTTGATTAGGCACAATGAATCAATTCTTATGCCCTTTTATTTTCATAAGAATCTCAATATGAGCTCAAATCTCATTTCTTGTTCTTTTTAGAAACCCAATGCACTTGTACTCTCTCTCTCTCTCTCTCTCTCTCTCTCTCTCTCTC